CAAACATCAACTTTATCTAGCGCAGTTGGTGGAATTATTGTTATAGGTGGCGGTTTTACCGGCATACTCGCACGCCTGTCAAATATGGTTTTCTAAAAGTACAGTTTTTTCTGAAAACTGAGCATCTTGAACGGTTATCGTTCGTTATTTCAGTATACTTCAGTAGATTTTTTAATCACGATCTAACAAATTGATTACATAAGCCAAAAAAGCTGTCACCACAGAAAATTCTTCCAACCACCTAAACTGTACCTTAATACCACCTAAAAATGCATGCGATTGGCTGGTTTTCATACGTGGAACCATTGTAAAATCTTTGGATGAACTAACTGATCGCCTAAATGTGCTGACAGTAAGTTAACTTTTCAAACCTGTTCTGAAGTTACAAGAAAAAAAAAACGAAAAAACGAAGAAAACAGAATAAAACCAGAGAACCTCAAAATAAGACGGCCAAATTTGCACTCATAAGATAAAGATATAATTTTGCAAAAAATACTATTGGAAAAAGTATTATTAACACTACCACTAAAGAATTCACCTTTTTCCAACTTTAGTCCTCATGTAAAATTTTCCAAAACGTTATAGACCTAAAGTAGTTTCCCAACAATTTTTAAAATACAAAACTTACATCAACAGCGCTGCAGAACCAATGTTTGGATTCTGCGGTAATGCTGCACTTTGAACGGAATAAAGCAGCTGAGCGTTAGCCTCGTTCCAGAATTTGTCAGTAACAAGTGGCGGAACCACTCCCGGCTTATCGTCGACAATCACAAGTCCAACCTGCAATCATTAAGCTAATAAAAGTCTACTGAGTGAGAGCAACGATGATTGATTGAATAATTATAAGTAAAAAAAAGTCAGTTGTCGACAACCGCTGGCACGTACAATAATAAATTGTTCCAACAAACGTTTGAGTACGGAACTACTAAAAGCAGAATTACTGTACGAGTAGTTCTTTGACAATTTATTAAATTTATAATTGTTTTTTGAGCCTCTTAGTTAAATTCTACTCAGAAAAGAAGTAAATTGTCTTTGGTATTTTATGTAGCACCTAAAGTGTAAAACAATAAAAAGGATTCATTTACATTTAAAAAACACTGCACTTTTTTTCTGCACTTACCTGGAGGTTTCTATCGATAATCCAGTTACACTCAAAATCGTCGTCGTCTTCACCAAAAGGATTCAATAGAGCTTCAGCGACTTTACTCCAACCAGTATAGCAAATAATTTGAATTATTGTCATAAATGGAACATAGATATCAATCTTGAAACAAAAATGTTTTTCTTTATTTTATTTGGAAATACAGCATGAAGAACTAAAAATGAAGAGAATCAAGCTTATAACGATGTTTCAATAAATATTTAAACATAAAATCAGTAAAAGAAACAGCAAGGATAACCGCTTCAAAACGTGTAAAAAAACTGACAGGTGCTCGACGTGTATGACGTTCCACATCCAAGAACTGCCGACCAATCATGGCAACGATAAAATAAAGCCTTACAGAAACAAAGATAACCTGGGTATACACAAGAGGCACTGGAACCCAGTCGGTGAACCATAACGACTGAATATCTGTTCGGAATTTGTCCAGATACTGTAACACAGGTACTTTCAATGAACTATATGATGAGTTGCAGCACTAACGACCTAAAGTCTTTATAATCGCTATTAGAAAAAGTGGCATTCAACTACCAAAAAATACCCTACCTGATAAAGCGTCTGAACCCCTTGTTCACTGGTAATTCGTCCTTCATATCTTGCGTCACGTATTAGATGCATTGCCCAACGAATTGGCATCCAAAATTTTAAGTCTTCCAACTGCAGTCTTTCATTTTCATCTACATAACCTGAAGAAGTCCATATTCTTTTTATATATAATTCTAATTTTTTTCTTCAGTTAGAGACACCGTCTATCATTTATTTTTCAAAGAAAGTGTAACAACGTAATTAAAAGATACTGACTCAGATAAAGGTGAATAAATAGGCAAAGCTGAAACTGGCAATTGGTTTGCGTAGAATTTCTTCAACAAACTAAATGATATATCCGATGTAAAAATAAACGTTAAAATTAATGGCTCTGCTTAAAGCTAGGAAAGTTGGTCGTACCCGCAAATTCTAGAGACTCCAGAGTTGGGAACCGTTTGCGAACTCGGATACTAATTGAGCGAAATATCAGAACCTGACAGAGGCAAACATATCGAATAATTGAGCGCCGAATCCGTCTACCTTTTTCATCTACACCTCTTATATAACTGGCAACGAGCAGTCCAAAACTGTAGTACATGCGTCATTAATTGCAAACTTTGTGTATGAACGCATCTTTTCAAAATCTGTAGTCTTTAGTCTTCTAAAAATTGAAGAGACAAACATTTCTTTTTTTGGCCAAATCCTTGAGAAAAGCTAGAATGAGATGAAAAAAGAAGCCGGCGCAAACTGTATTTCATCAGTCGAACTTTACCACTAAATGTCAGGATACCAAATAAATGAAAAAAAAATTCTAGAATTTCCGCACTGACAAAAAGCTACCGCAAAAAAGATTTTAGCTTTATTTATGCTGTACTTGTACAGAAAAGCAACTTTCAAATTGTCGAGTGTGGAAGGTTGATTGCCTCAGTTTGATTCAAGAAGATCTGCCTGTTTCAATTCTGTATGATCGACTAAGAGACAAGTGACGTATGACTACTCTCAATTCGTGTGCACTTTCAACTACTAGACCCTCTAAACCCATACTGCGGGTAGCAAATTCGATGTCTCAAGAAACCTCATTGTTTTTGGATAAGAAAGTCAGTCTCTCTGCCAGACAACATTTAATTTTCAGAAACTCATTCTTCTTCTCTAAATTTGAGAACTATGATTGTTTTTTCACAGAAAACCTCTCAAATACTTCACTGATTTTTCAACTGACTGCAACACCAACCTTTTTTCATTAATAAAAAAATTGCTTACAAGTTGCATGTATCCATTAGTGAAAAAAGATTTAAGAAACTAATTTAGAGATAAGAAATAAAACAAAAAATATGACTAGAGGAAAGAAATTCGTAAAACTTGCTAAATCATTTTTTTCAAAACCTTTTCAATAACTTTGAAAAAAACTTAATTTTTGCTTGAGACGAAACATTGTTTTAAGAAAAGTGTAAACAGACTTCACTTTCATAACGACTCTAAAAGATATGGGTCTATTCAAAAGTTTTTAACAAAAAAGTGTCTGATTTGTTCTGCAATATTTCTCATTTTGACCAAAAATTATAATAATTCTAACAGATTATAAATGCCACCTATTTTGCAACACTAAGAACGCTTTTTCTCCGACGTTTGGTAGTTACTAAGGCTTCAGTAAGCAGAAGATGGCACTCAGTTATGTACAGTGTAGTCGTATCAAATTCCAAAAATTAAGTGCGCTATCTCCTAATACTAAATTTACTTGACTCAGATGCTAAAATTGAGCGTGACACCACTTTTCTAAATCCCAAAAATATTTTAATTTTTAGTCTAAATTTAATGTTAGTTTAGAAGGAGTTTCATCGTTAAATTCGGTCAACAGCTTCTCTCTAAATTTTGCTAATCCTTTTTTTAGTTGTTTAGTTTCTTTCACCACACTCTCGGTTGTTTGATAGAGCTGATTTATTGACCTTAAGTTAACTGTACCCAGTCATCTGCTGTATTTTGTTTATTCTGACAAGGAAAAATCTTCTTTTGATAGCGTATGATCAGGTAAACGTGATTCAAATAAAGTTGACCACAATTTTTTTTTGAGTTTTATAGGTTATCTGTAAACAGAATAAGTGGAAAAACTTTAAATAGTTTTTTAGCCACTAAATTGTGGAAATATGCCTATTTTTTTTCAAAAAAGATTTTTTTTGGACAGCGGTAGCAGTATGGCATAACTGCTTAGAAAAAATAATCTATTTAAATTCTTTATTTTTTCATGTTTTTGGACTCAGCATTAAACGCCACAAAAGAGATTAAAAGATCTTAAAAAAGTGTTTTTGCGTAATTTTTCAGTATTTGATTTTATTCTTCATAGTTAAGTGTATGATTTGTTAGTGAACCAAACACACCTACTTTTTTTTTTTGTAAAATTTAAAAAAAAAATACAAACAGGTCTTTTTTTTTACCAGACTGAGAAACGGTTGTACCTGTCTCACAAACGAATGCTAAAAAAAAATTATTTATGTTTTTTTTTAGAGGCTTAACAAACTGCAGATTAAAGGCAGCAGTTATAGTTTCCGATACATCTGTAAACAGGCTGTTGTAGCCTTGTGCATGTATCGGCTTACGCGTAAAAAGTTAAAACAAAATCGAGCTGCATGACATCATCGCAGTGTGCTACAGACTTCTACAGCAAAATGAAATTATGAAAAGGCTAAGAGCAAAAATTCTTTGTAGACCGATCATTAATTTTAAGCAACAAGTTACTTGTATTCAGAATTACCAGCAAATATTAATTTATACTTTTTAAAAAAAGAGAAAAATTTAGATTAAAAAAAATAAATAAAAGAAAGTGCAATTATGTTGCTGTAAATGCTATTTAAACGTCAGTAGGGTGTGCTTGATAGTGATCAAGCATAAGAAATAAATAGAATTATACCCTAAAATTGCTATTTGATTTTAGATAAATTTAGCCGCTTCACTTTTTCTTTGTTTTCTTCCACTTCTTTCATTGTATTAAAGTTTTACTGCAACCTCAAAGGCATGGTGTGTTTAAAAATCCGCGTGAAATTTTGTAGTTTTTTTTTAAATCTTTTTGGTTTTACCCAAAAAACATACTTATCGATCCAACCAATATGGTTGAACATTGTCCACCATCGAGTAACAACAAGACTGACAAAGAAACCCATCATAAATGTTATTGGTATGAAATCCATATACTGATAGCATAGAAGGGTTACTTGCTCAAATGTCCTAGAAAAGAAAAACAGTAACAGGCACGAAATGCTCAGTTATTGTACACTTTTACTAGAAAAAAAAAGCAGCACTAGTGTGAAAAGTAGAGAAAACAAAAGAAAATTTTACTTCTGTTGGCTATCAGATAGAGCAAGTCGGTAAACTAATGACAGTATCATATAACCTATACACCACAGAATTACTTCAAAAAAGACTGCCTTCCAGACGCTCCCATTCCATCGAAAAAGTGTGTGGGCAAATACAAAAAATTTTGATGTAGAAACTTCTGCAGTATATGATATTGTCATTGATCGGATGTTCTTTCAGTCTCTAAAAAGACAACTGAATCTGAAACACAATGAAGTTCATAGATCTTACAGACTGATATTACAGGACAAGAAATAAATAAAAAAGATCCTTGCTTGCTAATCATTCAATAGTAAACATATGTTCTTCGTAATTTAAATTAAATGCTAATAGTTAATTTAACTATTCAAACAAATATTATTCATCTATTAAAAGTCTAAAGTTATTTTTGGTTATAATAAAAAATTTTTGGATGTGAAACAACAAGAAAAATTATTTTATTGAAGTAGGATAATCAAGAAAAGATACGTTGATTGACAGTGAAGAAGGAAATGATGAAGATGATGATAATACAGTTTGCTGAGAATGATATCTGAATTGAAGTCTAAGTTCAAGAAATCAACACCAAAATTACCATGTGTTAAGCGAACAGACTATCATCGGTTACAATAATATATTATGCGTAGTTTGGAAATCCCAATCTTTTGTTGGCTTACAAGTTTGCATAATATATTTGTACTCTTTGTCCAGTTGTCAGTGATTGATGCAGCAAAAATTTTTGCTGTAAAAGTCAATAGGAAAAATAACAGTTACAGAAACAAATATTTAGTTGACAAAAGGACAAAAAAATTTTCTTTGCTATTGAACCAAATTTATTTATTTATTTTTTCATAAGCCTCTGTTTTCTTTTTTTTTTCTTGTTACTGCAAACTACAGATAATATAAATTTTTATTACAACAATTCTGCTATACAATAATCGATTACTGATTATAAAGCCTGTTCATTAAAATCACCGTCCATAAAAGTAGATTTACGAGATGTTCGTTGCTGTTGTCGTTGCTGATAATGACGATACTGATGCTGTTGTTGCTGCTGTTGCCGATACTGATTTCTTAGTTCTCGGGTATATTTTCGGCTTCTCATCGTTCGTTTTGCTAATGGGCACAGTGGACATAACCAACAGGTGAAAAACAATAATACTGTAAACAATAATTTCAGTAAAATTTAATTTTTTATGAGTAACATCAAGTTAGTAGCATTGTTTTTTTTTTTTTGATAAACAGCCCAAGTTTTAGTGTAAAGATCGGCAACCGCTTATTGTTACAGTTTATCTGATTTTTTGGTTTTTGAAATCACTTGTTTAGAACACATTTTTTTCGGCTTTCAATTGTAACTGCAATTTTTTTAAACCTTAAAAGTATCAGTGAAACCATTGTTATAATTCAGTTGATTTTTAGATAATTTTTTGTTTCAATAATTCGCTGATGTCATCGTCAGAAATGCAGCGATCAAAAAAAAAGCTGAAAAAAAAAGAGAAAAGGGGAATGAATACTTCCAACAATCACAACGGCAGAAAGATAAAAGGCGATAAGTAAGCCGGTATGAACAGCATAACGACAACATGAAGGACGTTGAATACCAAATTCTTCATATGTACAACAATAGTTATAATCATCAGGATCTGTATTTTGTGGACAATAAGCCAAATATCCTTAAAAATTTTAAAAGTTTTATTAATTCTTCAGTTGCTTTGATATAAAACAGAAAAAATGTAGAGAACAAACAAGACAATCATCTTGAAAAAAATGTCAGTTTAACTTTTTTTCTAGGTTTTTCTAGTTTCGATATATATCAACAAAAACAACAAGTAAATAGAAATTTCAGTTGTACATTCAGTACGCCTAAACAGCAATAGTTTTTTGAAGCAGAATTAAATTTTTGATTTACAATAAAAACAAAGAGAGTAAAATTGTTTATGTTAAAAAAAATTAATTATAATTTGCCGTATTCTAAGAGCAAAAGTACAGAACAGATATAGCAGTTGAAATTTGTTATGCTGCAGTATAATCCACCAATACACTGCAAAAAAGCAAAATTTTCAAAAAATTATTACCTTCACCGCTTGGACACCAATAAATTTGTCGCTTTCCCAAGGTTCCAGGAATATAATCTTCATTCATCAATCTTTATCTGATTTTCTATGCACCTGCATAGAACCAAACAAAGATTTTACTAAATAAAATTTTTTCACAGAGCTTATTTATTATCAGTTGTCTTTTGTTCAATAAAATAAAATACAATAATCTTAAACTTCACCTTTTTTCTTCTTTCAGTATCAGTAATAGCAGCAAAAGTTGCAAATGGTCTTCAAAATTGACGGTGAACCAATTTTGTTGACTATCAACGAACTGCTCAGCAACAGACTACGTTCGCTTCTTCTTATTAAACCTCAAATATACAAAACAAAACAGATAAAATAAACACTGTTTCAGAAAATTGAAATTACGTTTGCTATAATATTAAAAATTTTATTTCGATTTTTGAAGCCTTTTTCAGTATTAGTTTAAAGTACAAAAGTTATGTTGCAATACAAAAAAAAATTATCTTAGACAATGACCGACAGAGGCAATGCGCGACAAATTGACAAAAACTAAATGAGGTTTCTTTGGTCTTATAGCAAATCATTTGATTGGTTTTGTTCTTCTGTCGTTTATTTTTATTTTTTTTTACTATTTTTTTTTTGATAATATATTTCAATTTTTCATTATTTGCCGTCACCAGTATTGTTAAGAAAAATATCAAAAAAAGGAATTTTGGCTTAAAAAAGCAGGAAATAAGCCAAGAAAATATGTATAACGTAGAAGGTAAATGAATCAAATGATCTGTTGTATTGTTGTTGAAAAAACCAAAAAAAGAAAATTTGTCGAATTAAAGGTATTTGTTGATTGATTATTTGAAAACAGAGTTCTTACTTAAAATAAGCCTTTTCAATAGTTTTAAAAAAGACTGCTCAAGTTGATTCATGCTAAAGCAGTTAATCCACTTAAACATGCTTCTATTTTCCCGCTTGCAGATAAGTGCTTCATTCTGCAGACAGAAAGAAATAAAATTTTTTTGGTGAAAATGGTACCAGGAAATACCCGTAACTGTATTCACATTGTTTTCAAGTGGTTTTTTTACTTACTTCACCTAAGCAAATGATTCTATACTTCAACTACTACAATAAACTCAATTCTGTTTGTTCACTTATATTTGTCTGCGTGTTTCTGTGGGCTTTCCTTGGAAACCGATAAAATGAAGTTTAGAAAAGCCAAGTTCAGATGAAGTTGCGGTAATGCTCTGAATTTGTTCAACCCTTTAACTATCGCAGTCGTTTGTTCTGTTTAGTAAATCAGTCAGCTAATTGGTAACGCTATTCTGCATATTAAATAATGCGACAAAACGATAATACTAAAAAATTGATATTTTTGATAGCCATAAAAATAATAAGTAATATTTTGTTTTCTGAAATTTTAATGTTGCTTCTTTTTACTTTAAATTTTCTCACATTTTTCAGAATTACTGAAGAATTTTTAGCAGATCAGTTGAATAAAACCATTTGCTCATTTTCACGTTTTATCGCAACTGCTATTAATAGGTTCGAACTTAAGTGAAACACAGCTACAAAGTTCTGTTGTTCAGAATTCAAATTTTTTTGTTATTTTTGTAGTAAAAAAAATCTGGGAATAACTGTAGTATCTAAGAACTTTTTTAGTTTAATTTGTAACATTTTCAGCACATTACAATTGACAACAGCAAAAGAGAAAAAAAAAAAAAGAAATAAGGAGTGGCAAAAAACAGAAATAAGAGCAGAAACAATAAATTAAACTTTTTCATGGCATTATTTTTCAGGGTTAAACAGTACACAAAGAAAAAAGCAGCAGTTGAAGATACTTAAAACGTAATAACCGTAATGACTCAATTTACTAAAATAAACATATAAAAAAGCAAAAAAAAAAAAATGAAGAATCAACAACATTTATGCAGTAAAAAAAAAAAACTGTTGAAGAAAATATAGACTAAAAAAAGCGGTGTAAAAATTTTGTTGCATTTTCTAGAAAGATGAAAATAAGTTTATCTAAATGTAACTTATGATTGAAAAAATTGATAATTGTTATAGTTATATGCAAATTTCAATAAATTTCTTTTCTTTTGCAAAATTAAATTTTAAATAATATTTTGGATGAATAAAGAGCAAAAATTGGTGAATAATGTAAATTTTGATGATGACCCAAGCAACAGAGCAAAAACAACACCAACAACAACATCAGCACCAGCAACAGCAAAAGCAAATCAGCAGTAGCATTTTTCAGAAACCCTGTTGCTTGTCAAGCGTGCTTCTATTTAGTTACATGCGTCAAAGCTGTATTTCTAGCTTCCATTGTTGATCCGTGCAAGAAGAAAAACCCGATTGAAATATAATTAATGTTACGTGAATACATACGTAGACAAATACAGAAAAAAAAACAGAATGAAGAACCTTAAATTGATCAGATGTTATGGTGGTGACGATTTGTTGATATTACTGTTGTTTGTAATTTCACTAAAAATCTGTTTTATTTTTTATTGTTTAAATGTGTTTTTTTTTTCAGTCAATTTTGCTGTATTTCAAGCAAAATAGACAAAAGACAAAAAAAGATAATTTTAAATAATGAAAAAAGTGATTATCATTAAAGCACTGATTACTGATCACTAATCGCGTCAGATGTGTCAATTTTGTGTTACATTGTACAGATAGTAAACAGTTATCAACACTAAAGGTTAAGCGTTTGGAAAGAAGAATAAATGATGACGAACGATACAACTTACTGCTTATTGTCATTTTTCAAAACTACCACTACGTCTAAACTATGCATAAAATTGAACTTAATGTTTATCATTTTGTTTAGGTAAACAGAAGTGTGAAAAATGAATTTAATTTTATGTTCTAAGTGCGAAAATACGACGAACATTAACATTAAGCAGATTAGCAAATCTGTAATCAATAACTGTTACCTCTATAACAGTCAAAATACATCTATCAGTATGTGTTATTTATTCACTAACAGTTATCAAATAAGTCTAAGATTTTTAAAAAAAATCTAAAACTTTAGTCTAATTTTGTTTACTAAAAAAAAACTCATAATACTTCAAATAAATCTGTTAGTTTAATTGATTAAATCTTCACATACTAAGCCAAATTTAAACTGCATTTCGAAAAACAGTCAAGATAAAGTACATCTTAGAAATTCAGTAATAATTCAGCAATGATAAATGTCACTCAGAACTTGTCGTATTCTGGGCAATATTTTATGCTAACCAATAAATACATTTATTTTTCTGTTTATTATTGTTAATCGCTTAAAAAACTTTAAAATTCAAATTTTTTAACATCAAGAATGAATTTGAAAATAAAAGTCTATAAGCAAAAAAAATTCAAGTGATTACTTTAAATAATTTAATAAATCAAAAAATTTTATATTCAAAATTAGTTATTCTAAGTAAAGCGTTGCTATTTTTTTCAAATATTTTTTTATCAGCACATAACTCAAAAGAATACTCTGAACTTTTATTTTTATTTCTTTTTTTTTTGAAATTTGACTGGTTTTGGTTTCAAACATTTCAAACAACAAAAGTTTTAGTAGCTTTAGTTTACAAGTGACGAGATGTTGTCATGTTTTTTCATTTATCTCGCATCAATTTTCCATCAAAAAAAAATATTATAGATTGCGCAATTTCAATTATACGAGAAAACTTATTCACTGTTTGTTAAACAGTACGTAAAATAACTGTGCTTAAATTGAATACTGTTTCTTTTTATAAGGTCTAAAGTACTTTGATTCTAGTCACTGCTAATTTAGAAACCGATAAGCTAGAAATATTTGAGCTTTCTCTGCAGTCCTGCAAGTTTGTACGAAATTTAATCTTTATAAAAGCCATCAACTAACAGTACAACTTGCTTACTGTACTGTTGCAGAACTGCAAAGTTGTGCTGTAATAACATCGACGTGTCCTTAGCTACTTTGTATCAGGTCTC